TGTATCAGTCCAACAAGAAGAACAACGAACAAGGTCGTAAAAGAAAGGACGCCGTTTATTTTGTCCCATGAATGGGACTATATGATAAGAAAGGTTATAGATGAGACTAATCACATTGTCTTCATGCGCCTAGCGGCTCGATTGGCCATCTGGCCCCTTTGTCCTGGCTGCATTGTGTGACCTCGAGGTACGCGCAAGGCTGCGCGCGCCTTTGGGTGTGGGCGGACCGATAGCGTGACCTGAGAGTTCACCCGGACCGCTTCTTAGGAATATACCTAACAGTGACGACTTTTGCGTTCTCACTTTTCGAACGCCGCCTCAGCGGCTCCAGACGTGCCCTCGTCCACCTGTCAAATTCTTCCATCCTAATCTTTACTCGTTATGTAAAAAGTACAGTATCACGAATTGAGACAAATTTTCGCATCCCAGGTATGGCATAGATCGAGAAGAAGAAGAAGCCATGTCATATTTTTGAGGAAAGATTAAATCCCAGTGAGCAGTTGGACGTAGTTTATCGCATTCCATGTCTAAGCTTCCCATAAATTACACGGGACAGACTGGACGCAGGGTGGGTTCGCGCACACACACATAGTAGGACAGGCCGAGAACTGATGGAAGTCTGGGGACTCGGATGACAACTCAGTAAACCGATGTATCGAGTTGGTGCCCGCATATGTCGCCCTGCGCAGGTATCCCCAGCCTCACGGCACTGGCAGTTAATTGGTCCCCCAACTCCCCCACCCCTATGATAGTTGATTGGCCCCTTCCCCTGCAAGTGTTGGTCGTTTTTTGTTGAAGATTTTATCACTGACGATGGACTCCCCCAAGAGTTTGAAAGCTCAGACTAATAAAACTAGGATTCTGGCGATCGGCACAGTACAATATTCCTCCTAACTGACCTTCAATTTCCTCTCTTCCCGTACGCAGGCACAACTGAAGTTTTCAGTAGCCGCAAGGGTTTTTCCTTACAACCTGTCTAAGACACGGAAGCCAAACTGGCGGTCAATATCATACCCCATAGAAGGATGGACTCGTTTGCTCGCTTGGGAAGCAGCATCTTCCAACTAGCAAAGAAGGGAGCGGACTGTGGGCACACGTGAACGACTCCGACCGGTTTGGTGAGCTGTTGTTACGAGTTGAAAGAAATTCACCTGCGACGGAATAACCGTACCTTGAGGAGGCTTGACTATCGCCTGCCGCACTGATTTCTATTGGAACGCTTCTTGGAGGCATGGAGACTGGTTAGACATGCGCTTTCTAAATACAAGTTTAATTGTTCCCGCAAGTGCTCCCAGAATAGCTAAAGAGACCGGAGCAATACTTAAGTAAAATCCGCAGACCCGAATGAGGCAACAACCTTCGAATTTGATCAAACATGGGAAGCCTTTTGCTAACTGAATAAATAGTAGGAGTTTGAAGGGCACAGACAATGGTTTTACAATGCTAATTACCAATCCGTACCTGAGGAACTTTGTTCCTATTGCACGATATATGCTGATAACAATTAATTATGATGGATAGCAGCTAATTCCCGCTGCTCTTTTAGCAAACGAACTAAATCTCCGGTTAATAATTACCCATGTCTATCCTGCAATACATCCTTTACTTTTTAGCCACAATATGCAATAGAGGCCACCACCGACGAGTAAAGTTCTTCCTCGCATTTCTTACGGCCGTTCGATTTGAAATTGCTCGTAAGGGATTGGAAGAAGCATTTTGTTTCCTTTTCCATTGACATAAACAAAACAAAAGCGTGCTGTAATCATTGGACCGTTTGGCTAATAAAAAATGCTTCTATACAAAAGGCTACAATACACAGCCCGTCAGCAAGGCTTCAAATATAATCTTTACAAGGACATTGCTTTTCATAGATGCTAAATTTCCTGTAGATGGCTACACTAGTGATCTCGAATCCTCCACACTTGGATGCAAAATATTCACCCGGATGTAGTAGTACAGACCGTTATGTTTAAGTTCCCGCTGCGTAACTGCATATTGGACGTGCCGATACGTGTCCGCTTGCCACAGTTTTTGAGCGTTTCGCAGTCTCTTCCGCCTAAAAAGGATAACCGATGTTATATTTTTAAGTTAAGCAGATTACATTCTTAGGTCTGGTGGAAAAAAAAAGTTTATTCAACAAAATAAATTGGTCAATACCTCTGTGGGTTTTCTTCGTTTCCATCGTCTCTGGGATGCTTCATCATCTTGTAGCGAGCAAAGGTGAAATTGCGTCTCATCATAGTCTGGTTGGAGAATTTGAGTCGCCTGTACATGTCATCATCTTCACAGCCCCACCCAAAGTACGTATTTGCATATCCGCGCGTTTTCTCGAAGTGCGTTCGTGTCAGTGCCACCGCCCCACCAAATGAAGTCTTGTAGAACAGTCTAAGTTAAGTTGGATAAAAAAATCCCTCAGTTTTGCGTAAAATGAGGGACGGCAAAACACCGAATCGCAAGGTTTAGTATGTTAACGTTTTTCGAAAGGCAGCGAATAATGTCTCCTTTTATTTGAGGATAGGGCTAATTCTGGGTAAAATTGGTGGGGAAAATGGCAACTAGTAGGTAAATGTAAAGTTATAAAATAAAGAAATTGTAAATATGACGATGTTTGTTTAACTAAGCCACTGTTAGTTCCAAAGCAGCGGCCAATTCTAAAACGGTGTTGAAGCAAACTGATAAACTAACAGGTAGCTAACTTGCTTCGTGCACGCGAAATCCTAGATTCAAAGTAACCGTAGCCCTAAAACCAATCCCAAACTTAACTCGAGAAGATTTGCATTAAAACGTATAATAACATAGATAACTACTGTAAATCTAAAAATGTCGGGCAAGTTGTTGAGCATAAGCCTAAGCCTAACTCCAACCAAAGAAGAATGGCAGTAATACAAACAGTAACCTAAGGCGACATTCCATGTGGATGCAAGTTTGAATCCCAACGGGGCCATGCATTTTCTCAGTTAGGTCAAGTGAGTTACTCAACTCTGCCACCCCCCATAATAACTTGAATGTGATTTAACATATAAGAACCTTACTAAAGCATACTGCTGTAACCAAGCTTCGGCTTTTAAGCTTACTTGATCAGGATTATTGATTAATTAACAGAAACAACAAATGAGTGTTCCTTTATCCCGAAAACTCGGATAAGCACGTTTATCTGACAGAGCACATTGAGTAATAATGTCGCACAAAAACAGCGTAATAATGGGCTCTTTTATTTTTGCCCTTATGTTCGCCCAAATCATCCAATCGGCGCTGATCTGCAGACCAGTCGTGACTAGCTTGCGTCGAAGTGAATTTTGTCTAAACTCACTGCCGCTGTTCTCGATTTCTGGGAACAGCCAATCAGAGATGCCGCAAAGCTGATCCCTGGCCAGGCAACGAATAACACGCCTGCACGCATAAGCCTATACAGTCTGTCTGGCCAAAAAACCCTAAAGGCCGATCCAGACAATGACCGAACACTTTGGCCGTTGATATGCCTGCTACTAAGCCCGCACATAGAACCCGGCTAGCCTTCTAGCTGGGTGTGCGCTCCGAAATCAAACTTTAATCTGCTTATTCTCTATTCTTCTGTATATAGGATAAACTATTCCTCCTACTCTGGCCTCCACCAACTTCTTCTCTCCTAAGGAATCATGGTCTGAAGATTGCAGTTGCTAAGGCTTAACTCACTTAACCCCCTGCGATAGACCTTCCGGCTAATCGTTATACTCGACCGAGATATATGAGGTAAAGTCTGCGTGAAGATTCGAGTTCCAGATATCATTTTCATCATTCTCCACAGAAGAAGAAGAAGAAGAAGAAGAAGAAGAAGAAGAAGAAGAAGAAGAACAAAGTACTAAGACACAGACCGAAGTATTTTAAGAGTGGGATGAACGCGTAATATTCACCAGGTGTTAACAGACTGTGGGAAGTATGCAAATACTACTTGTGCACCAGAAACCTCCAATTGTACCGTCCTCTTGACTTTAGTTTTGAAATTATTCTACCTGTACCACAGTGCAGTGAGCTATAAGCCTGATGATACGTGCCGGCGTATCAGCAAGCCTGATACGAAGAAGAGGGCCTCCGTAGGAATTTTTCATCTACGCAAAGCGTAACAGCTTGCCCAACGCGGTTGTGGTACTTGCATCCCCTCCCC